AGACGTTTATCTTCAGTTATTTATCGCCCATGGAAAGAAAATGTCTTGGCCGATTTTTTGTCACTCGCACCAAATTCAGTACAATAGATTTGATGTTTTGTGTCTTGGTTTGAATTTACATGACATTATTAATATGTTCTGTTGAGCTTAGTCATTACTATATTTTGCATTAATATAATAACATATATGTTATATTGAGACGTGAGTGTCTGTGTATTCAAGTGTTCTTGTTTGCTCTCTCGTATTGGTGCTGTTTGCCGCGACATGACACCAGTTTTCCGACCGAGACTACGACAAGTCCTAGTCCTCGGTCGTCCTCAGGGAGGGGGGAAAAGCTGTCGCGTGCGAATGTGCACTAGAACGCACCAGTACTGAGTGAGCAAACAAGACGTCAAAACAATACGTCAGGTTGTGAAGGAATTGTATTCTAGGGGATGTAAGTCGAAGTTTGACCAAGGCGGACGGTTTGGTCCGGCCTTGGTGTGGATCCTTGAGGATGCTTTACCCCGGGATGCCACGGAAGGAATGTTAATCAGTTGGATCCTTGAGGATGCTTTACCCCGGGATGCCACTGAAGGTATGATAATCAAGTTGGATCCTTGAGGATGCTTTACCCCGGGATGCCATACTTCGCAGTTGATGTTTATAGTCCGAAGGAGACGGACGTGGGAATCCTTGAGGACGCTTTACCCCGGGATCCCACGGAAGCAAACGTTATATAAAGTTGGATCCTTGAGGACGTTTTACCCCGGGACTCCAAGACCTCAGCAGGAAGCTGGTGAGCACTACATTCTCGGCAGCAAGCCGGTATACTTCCATTGCTTAATTCGGACTTGTCCGAGGAGAAAGTAAATCGTCTGGATCTCAAGGTCGGACTGCGACCTATCGTGAGGACATATTATTACATGGATGTACGAGCGAGCTTTGGTGAATGAATCTTGATTAGTAAATGCATATTTCTCATTGTGTTGATTATCGATATTGTCAATACACAAATGGAACTTTTGAAGAGAGTTCTTGTTCTACTACGTTGGAAGCTTCAGCATTCATCATGTTCTGTTACTCTTGGCCAGTGGCATGTTAAGTGTTGATGCCACTTGTTAACTTGCGACACCCCTAGTCATTTTACGCTTGTCACAATCCATCAAGCATACACAACATTTTGGTACACTCGTTACAAAGAAGTTTCCCCACGTAACAGTTGGGTACGAGCTGTGTCCTGACTGGATATTTTAAATTCTTGGCCAGGATGCTTGTCCCTAGTGTAGAAGTGTGGATCTGGTCCTTATATAGGAGCTTCTTCGGGGCGCCAGACTGTGCCGTAAAAAATGGTGTGTGGTTGATAAAAGTTAAATTATTTTGTTTACAAAAGATCTCTAGCACCTTATTGTTTCTGTCAGCCAGTCTATGCTGATGGCCAAACATCGGCGTCAGAATAGAAGAGAAAACTTTAGTAGATGAAGGATATGTACGACACAATGAATCCAGCAGCACCCGAAGCTGGAAGTCGGTGATGTATATATTGTTCATTGTGTCATTTATCCCTATGTGAACTGTCACTTTCTTGATGTTGATGTTTGTGTCCAGTCTCTTTATTTTGTCTGCAAGCCTGTCCACCCCTGCACCAGGCAATGGAACAACAGAAACTAAGTCCTTGTCAGATGTAGACATTAGATCACTATACAGACCTTTTAGCAGTGAGTCACCAATAATAAGGTGGGTGGAGTCTGGCCGTATTACTTGTGTAAATTGGTAGCCAGAGCGCCTTGCCCGCTGCGTCTGCCATTGTTGTCGTTCAGTTTGTACATCTTTATGCACCTCCTCCGATGTGACTTGTAGGCGTGGAGTGGATAATAGTGGTGTTTTAGCCGGTGGTCTACTGTAGACTGACTGCTCCAGCTGCGCATCAAATCGATTGGTTATCTTCACGTCAATTGGATAAGTGCGCTGTTGAGCTTGTTCAACCTGCTCCTGTTGATTCGGTGGTTGTTTGGCTTCCTGTTGCTGACTGGAGGAAGTTTGTAATGATTGGAGAACTTCAGTTTGTGTCACCATGTCAACTCCTGGCACAAGCTGCTTAATTTCAATAATAATTTTTAATGTTTTGTTTTCCTCTCTCAAAAGCTGGATTTCTGCCCTGAGTGTGTCGTAGTCCCTATGTAGCTGACTGGAGAGAGCATCAATAAGTGTTGTTAAGCTAGTGGCTAACACTTGAGTGCGATGCTGGCAGTCGCATGTGGGATGCCTGTTAGACGGTGTGTCCGCTAGGTCTGTGAGTGAATTTAAGGGTTCCGTGGGTTCAGAATCTTGACGCTGTTCCATGTCTTGCCAACATTCCAATGGGTACTCGATAGCTAGCAGAACTGGTCGACCTGTAACTACTGAGCCCATGTTCTGACTAGTATATGTAATGGCCTCTACTATCTGAGGACTGACGGCTGATGTACTGGTTATCGTTAGAAATGTTGGCTGAGCAGGAGTGATGGTTTGAGTTAAGGTAGGTACGTTGAGATTCTGGGGTGAATTGAGAAACTCCTTGTGTATCAAGGACTGAGCTGTCATCTGAAGCTCAATAAACTCCTTCCCCATCCATGTCTCCAAAGCATGTGCATTACCTTGGACCAGCAGTTTATTTTTGGTGTGGTACAAGTGAATCGTGTATGATGGCGACAATATTTTCGCCTCTATGTGCGCACCCTGTCTGTCTTTCCTGTGTTCAATATTATCGGTTTGGTAGCATTTCAGCAGGCAAGATCGAAAGCATTCATATTGAATGGTATTATTGAAGCAGATGCTAACACATTTTCCGTCACTTGAATGTTTAATCAGGAGCCCTGGGTCATTCAGACATTTTTTAAGTTTGTCCCGTAAGGCTTTCTCTTTGTTCAGCGAATAGTTCCTGCTGACCACAGGCCTTAAGCCGATATGCCCCCTTTTTGCTACTTCAACGGTCAAGCTCTCCTCGCCGAACATAACTGCAGGTGTACACCTGTGTCAAGCATTCACTGACGCGCAGCAAACAGTCCCAAGCACATCTGGGTCACAAGACATTTTTCACAACTACCTAGTGATTAGTTGGATTGATCCATCCGTAGAACCCGATTGGCCCGGAGAATTACATTTGTTTCCATTGTTAAATTATTGTTTAAATCAAGTAGAAATTCCATGAAAATACGCACATGAAAATACTTTTAAACAAATTCACTCTCTGTGCAGTAACACAGCGATCACAATAATACGAAAATCCATGTTTTTTACACGCACTGGTTTCATAAAATAATAAAAAATGAAGAGCTCGCTAAAACACGTATAAGACTACTACAGCATCGAGTAAGCTCTGTGCACGTCGTACATGCACCATAATCGGAGTTATTCTCAGTCTGGTCACTCTTGTATATCCGCTGAATATATTTTAGTCGCAGTTTTTTCCAATACCGCTGATTGTTCTATCTTCATCTAGCACGCCGACTTCTAGAATCTCAACATTTGTGCATACAGTGGATTCAATTATTTTTCCTATGATCCAGGTTAACATCTATAACAACCCACAAACTGAAAAACTAAAAAAAAAAAAAAGCCTACAGTGTAACCGACTTAAATACTGCTATTATCTCAAACATGTAGTATGTTTTCTAACTGACAGGCAGCTGTAACTTACTAACACCTGTATTATCTTAATGACCGGAAATAAGAACAGATATCTTATCCCCGTTCTGTGAACTGTTTCATGATTGTGAGAGAGAGAGAGAGAGAGAGAGAGAGACAGACAGAGACAGACAGAGAGAGAGGCAGCCACATGAGTGCAGGAGCTAGCAAGCTTGCCTCAGGGCCAATTTGTCATGTGTTCAAATTCCCTTCAAGAAGGATGAGTTAGTAAAACCTTGTTTCCTTACATTCTGAGAGACTGAAAAATCAAAAATTTGTGTTTAATAAATGTGTGCTTACCAGCAACTAATGCATACATACTAATACATCCTTGCTGGATTCAAAATTTTGTTCATGTTAACTAAGTGCCTGTCTTAAGCAAGTTTGTGTTGACATTTTACTTCTTCTTTGCTTTTATGTGGCTGCGTGGTCTTGAAGCATGATATCCGCCTCGAGTGCTAGAGGTTCCGGGTTCAATCCCTAGTAAGGGCTGGGATTTTTTCACCTGGACTTGGACTTCTAGTAATTCCCCCCGTTTCTGGGTAGTGAAATCAGACGCCCGTGTGCATTGTTGCGCATATAAAAAAATCCCTTGGTAGTTAGAAATCAAAAAGAGTAGCCTAACCGCGCTGCCCTGGCAACACTTGGAGTAAAAAAATCTACCCAAAGTATTTCAGGATCCTTGCCGGTGCTACAGAGCCTGTGCACTGTGCTGAGCTTCTTCGAGCTCAGACTTGAGTTAGAAGAAGAACGGAGCACTTATGGCTTACTACCCGTGTGCCATGATGTTGATCCATTGTTCAAACTTCATACTTAAACCTCAAACTTTAAACTCCGACGAAATGTTCTGGTTGTTCGTCACTTTCTGGACTCTAATCCAGTTTAAGAACCTGAGTGTTGTGTGCACATCTGCTTTACATATCTGACTCATGTGTATGCAGACTGTTAATTCCTTGCCTCTCAGGCAGATGCACTGCTACTTCAAAAGAAGTCAACTATCATAACATGCTTCTAAGTAGGCATGGGTCTATTCTTGTCTAACCCACAATGGGACCCTGAAACAGTTCAAGACTGCAGGTTACACCAGGCTGTTATAATCATTATGGGTGCCTGAAATATAATTTCTGTAAAGGTTAATAGAGTATTTGAGATTTGCCCTGTTGGTCTACCCTACAGACTGAGATTTTGTAATCTCAGGGTGGTCAAACTTGCAGGCAGGAGCCCAGAAAGGGAAGGGAAGGGGGGGGGGGGCGGATACAGATATGCTCACTGCCTCAGCGATGTCGTCACAATATCAGGTTAAAGAAAGTTAGACACTCACATCCTTTTTTACAAAATGAATCAAAGACACTCACATCCTTTTTTACAAAATGAATCAAAGCGCCGAGAGAATCTCTTGACACCAGGAATGATATTCTGTTTGAATTGTCCACAACACCAAGTGATAGTGGCTTGCTTTGGTCTGTCCATTGTAAGCAGGAATGCCAGACCTGTTGCAAACAAAAAAAGTAAGATGGATTTCATCAAATCAAAATACAATTTGCCTTAAATTTAACTAATGATATCCTGTTATATATAAGAAGGTGGCACACTGTACTTCACCTCAGTCACTAGCAGGCTCCATGCTGGTTTTATGGATACTTATGGAAGACTCCTGCCACACGTCCTCATTGTGTGCTATGGATCTTCTTCTTCTTCTCTTCCACCTTGTATCTCAGCGAAGTGGCCTGGGGGGGGGGGGGGGGGGGGGGAAGTAACATTCACTGATAAGCTCTGTCAATAGCACTAATAAGACTGATGTTAATTTCTGTAAGGCTGTTCTTAATGCCATCACTCCATTTTTTCCGAGGTCGCTCTATACCTTTTGTAACATTTTAGTGAGGCTCGCTGTGGTAGATAGTACCAGGGTATTCTTGTTAGGTATCCAAACCACTTCATTTGTTGTTCTTTGATGACTTGTAAGACTGGCTTTGTTCCTAGCATTCGTCTAATTTCTTGATTTCATACTCTGTCTTTCCTTGAAACTCCTGCAGCTCTTCTAAGGCATTTCATCTCTGTTCTCACCATTTTATGTTCAGTGGAGGATGTAAGTGTCCACATCTGGCACTGATAGCATAGTGTTGGCCGCAAAAATAGTACTGAAAAGATTCACTTTAGTACTCCGAAGAGTGTGCTATGGATATTAGCCTATACTGACCTAAACCAAGCTGGGATTCTGGAGTTATTCACCGTGACAGTCACAGATATAATTTACTGTGATGTGTGTAGCTAAGTAGTGGATGTTTGAAACTTTTATGTCATAAAGTAGGATCTTTGAATCTGAACCTTAACTGTCATATAATAGGACGCTCAATGGATGGACATTTGAACCTAATTAGCCATTCAGTAAGACTTTGTCAACAGACGTTTGAACCAAGTTTGTCAAAAAGTAGGTCTCTTAGCTGACAGAATCTGAACCATTTTGCCATTTAGGTGAATACTCGGCCAGCAAACTTCACTCATTTTCCAAATGAGTTTTGAATAAAGTTATCACCCATGCATTGGGGGTGGGCTGATAAGTGCCAGATACATTCTGGACATTGCATCACTGAGGGGCCAACAACTCCCATATCTTCAGCAAGCTTGGTTTAGGCTCTCTAGGTGCATGGTAACGGTGTGTGACAGGAGTCTTGCAGTAAAGATCCGTAAAACTAGCACAGAGGCTGCTGGTAAGGTGTGGAGTATCTCCTTACATAAAGCACAATGGGCATAACTTTCCCTGAAATCACCATGCTATGGATATTTTTTTTGTTAACTCCAATGTATTTTCAATATTTGATTAAGCAGTCCATAAGAACAACAGAAGGAATGACAGACTGGTGTCCCATCTCATCAAATCTCAGAACAGGATGTATCCTCTCATCATTGCTATTCATTACTCACATGGATAAAATCACACAGGAGGCATATGTCGACACTGAAGAAATCAAGGAACTTCTTTTTACAGACGATCTATATCTAATGCACCACCAAGAACATAATTTACAACACCCCATTGACTCCTTTCACCAAACCTGTACAAAATATGATATGAGAATAAACACCGCAAGATATTGGGAATAAGCAGGAAGCATAATGACATGAACGTTCATATTAATGGTACTAGTAGCAAACAAGTATGAGAATTCAAATATCTAGGAAGCATATTTACAGAGGATTGCAGACTGGGTAGAGAGATAGAAGCCAGAATACAGAAGGCAAATACTGTCACCTACCAGTTAGCTCTACTACTTACACATCCAAATGTCTTCAGTCCAGCATAACAGCAAATGATTAATAGCATCTTCAACCCTTCTTTATACTATCAGTGCCAAACATGGACAATGAATAGGTCACTAGAACAGAAAATAACTACAGGTGAAATGTGATGTCTCCATAGGGTCACTAACAACACAAGAAGAGACAGGGTTACGAATACCAGCATAAGAGAGAATAAGACCATGTCTAGATTATATTGACAGACAAAGAATAAAAGGGTTTGGCCATCTAGAGAGAATGCAGTTAGATAAGAGTGCATATAAGACTTTTTTTTTTTTTTACGGAAGAACACCTGGGAGGAAGGTGAGAGGAAGACCAAGAAAGATATGGATAAATGGTGTAGCTGAAACCTGCAAAAAAACGAACAAATCAATCATTCAAGCCACATGAGAAGCACAAGACAAACACAGAAAACCACAACACTGGGCTACAACCTGGTATCATTAACATGACAAATAAAGAAGTCCATAATTACATATCACAATGATAAAAAAAAATTGTATGAAAAAAATGTGTGTGAACATATTGGGTATCATATCTAGTTTTGTATGTATGTGACAGCTTTCAGATGTACAAATTCTAGTCTTTTAAACTGTGTACTAATTGCAAATGCACTTGAAATGAAGAATAGAGATCACATGGTCTAAATTTAGTAAATATTTATTAGATGTCTTATCAAAGACAGAGGTTCCGGAAAGACGTGAAATAAAAACAGTTACTGAAAGAAATAAAAAGAGACAATTTAAGTTTCTTGGCCACATTAAAAGACATAATACTCTTATAAAATAAACTAAGCTTGCTGTTAATGTCTGGGCAATCAAGTAAGTATAGCTTTGCAAGCTTTATCTTCGGTGCAGCTGATTGTTATGTACAGAGCTTCATTCTAAATCTTTTCGAGCCTTTCTATTTGTGTCTTTCTAAGTGTGAGGGTCACCACTGCATATTTCATAACAGAGAGAAGGACAGAGAGAAGGATTAATCCTTGACAGAGTAAGAATATATGGCAGACATGACTGGCAAATCCATCAAGCTAGCCCTTTCTAACTTGGATAATCACAGTGTCCTCATGTGACTTAAAGGATAAACTTACATCTGAGTAACTGCAACTTCCATGAAAAACATTGTGAATATCAACAGCATCAGGAAGCATCAGTCTGTTGTCATTAACGAACACATCACCAACATAGCCAATCAACGGTCTGAAAAACAAAATAATAAGAACACATAAGGCACAATTAGTATATTGTGTTTACCCTATTATTTTTAGACAAAAATCGGCGATGCAATCAATATCAAACTGGCCGTGCCAAGAAGGCTAAACCAGAACACAAATGCCTGCAGAAGTTGGAGGTGTCGGCCGAAAGTCGCAAGTATCCCAGGCATGTCCTAAACGGGCACAACTTATTTACTTCTTTGGATAAACACAGAAGAAGAAGCTGGCCCAAAATTTCCTGATTCTTTAATTGACATGAAGTCTTTGGATAGTGCCCAGTATGCTTATTTAACAGCTTTGGTACTGGCTGCAACTGCACAGTGTGTAGACTTGGTAAGCATGATTATATTTACCCAAAATAATGTTTTTTGGGTGAAATGAATAGATTTTAAAAACAAATTGTGGATTCGCCTAACGTCATTTAATTAAATTATATGTCACATGCTCTTTGTGGCAAAGTGACCGAAACAATTTGTCAATGATCAAAAGAAAGAAAATATATTTATTATTTGCTGTTTGTGAAGTGATTACTTCTCTTTATGTGGAAATAAAGCTTTCCCCCAATTTAGACATTCAGTGTCTGAATAAAAAAGGTTTAAAATGTTTTTTACTAGCTGTACTCAACCAGACGTTGCCGTGGCTCAGTCTGGCTAAATCAGAAATAAATAAAATAGAAAGCGCATGTTTCTAACATTGTTTATTTCACAATCATTGTCTGTGCAGACACAGGGATAGTCTGGTTTGCCAACTCTAGAACATGCAATACATAACTGTGTCTTTATATTAGTGTTCATTTAAACTGAATTATTAAGAGTAAACAAAAAATTTTTTAAAGTAGTTATTTGTTTATCACATGCTAAAGCTTTTTTTTTTTAAACAGCTGAAAGCAAAGCTTACTACTGTACTTCTAAATAACCAACAAATTTGCACCTAAAAAAAAAAAAATAAGAATAGCTGAGGTAGAATTATTACAATTTAAACAATTAAAAAAATGGAAACTTTAAAAGGATTTGAAATTCATCTTCTGAAGATGTTTTTGTTTTTTAAATTGACCTTGCAACTATGTCCACCCAGACTAAAATGGGTAGCAGGAATTGTAATGAGAAGTAAATGTGGCCAGTGTAATTGTTACCACATCACTCATCGAGTATCAATACTACTACCACCACCACCACCACTGGTGGTGCAGATGACTGCTGAGAAACAACCGGACCGGCTGCTTCGAGATACCATCTTACTGATTTTGTGTATCTGTGTAGTATCGTTTGATTTGTGTGTGCTGATGAAGGCTCAATAACGGCAATGTTCACGTTTTGTTTGTATTTGATATATCGTTCGGTTTTATATCAACTTACTTGTAAGGTTCAGTGACAAACTGCTTGGAATGAAGTATATGTGCCCCAATAAGAACTCCCTCAAGCACATCTGTGATAATCTTCGGAGCTGTTCTTTCAACAGAAAATGCTTCTCTGTTGCCATCAAGCTCAGGGTATGTTTTGCTGCTTTTGTACATAACCTACAGTTAATAAGATATAACATGCTGATTCAAGACGCAACACAATTTACCTAATTTATGTTTGCTAGTAAGGTCATAATATTTTTGTTTTAAACAAGTGAACATAAATGGTATACTGGTTTCCCATTGACAGAAAGAAAGAATAAATCCACTATTCCCCCTTCCCCCGCCCACCTTTCCCAATGAGTATGCAGTAAAAGGCAACTAATTATGAGTTTGACAAAATCAGATGTGTTGGGCTGAAAGATGAAAATATCCCAGTTTAGCTGTAAACCACAACACAACGTCCTAACTACCCTTTTTATGGTGAATACAGAAAAAAAAGAAGATAAAGTGTTCTGGTTATGCCATTATACAGTAGTATTTGATATATGTGAAACATAGTCTGCTTAGGATATACATAATTTTCACAATCATCCACAGGTAGCCAGTTAAAGGAAACAGCGCTCTTTATACAACCCACCAGAAAAATTCTTGATATTTCACCAGTCACCCCCATCTCAGTATTTTAATTTCAGTGATGTCTTTAATAATCTGTGCGTGTCTACCACCAAGTCAGTCTTCTTCTTCTTCTTCTTCTTCATCTTCTTTGTGTTTCCTGGTTTTAAACTCCAGCAGAAAGTTCTGGTTGTTTGTCTTCTTCTGGAGTTTAATCTTGTTCCAGTACTTGAGATTTGCATGCACATCTGTTTTACAGATCTGGCTTATTTGTATGCAGACTTTTGGTTCCTCACCTCTTTCTGCACTTAAACTTTGAAGAAAACATTCCTAATTGGTCCATATGTTTGTTAAGATGGCAGCAGGTCTATTCTTTTTCCTCAAAATGAATTCCAAGACACCACATGGGGACAAAGTCAATCAATCTCTGCTTGATTCTTTATCATCTGCAGGTAGATTAAGTCTATAGATATATCATTTAATGTGTGATGTAGTTAACTCTTTGTGGACGTATCGCCACTTTAATGGCTTCTGAATCCATTATGTTTGGTTGAATCTCTACTTAAGTGGCTCCTTGCATAGATTCTCTAATATAGTTTCATTTACTAGGAAAATGAATTTGTATCAACATGTTTTGAAAAACTAGAATTAGCTAAAGGAAGTACTATTCTTTCCCAAGCATGGTCAGATTTGTTTTTAATTAAATCAATGTGATACTATTTTTATGTGAATTTCCAGACCAAATGATAAGTTCAGATCTAAAACTGTCCATACTGACTAATAATCTCTTCCGCCTTTATGTTCTAGCACATTTCCTGGTACACATATTAGGCTGGATAGACTAAGAAGCCTAGGTCAGTTTCATAAATTTTACACTTTTATGAATATCTGGACATTTTATTAATATTTTTTGTTACTGGACAAACCAGCATGACAGCCATTAAGCTAATGACCCCAGTATTTTTTTTTAAAGTGAATAAAGTCAAGGACTCACTTACACACCTTGACTTGTAATGAATTTATGGTGCTAACCCACATTTTTTGTAGACAAACTGGTCACTGGTGAATGATGTTGGTCAATACCGTGCCAACCACTTTTACTGTATAAAGCATTGTTTGATACCCATTTTTTAGACTTGGTCAATCTGGTAGCTCAGGTCAGTTGAAATTTTTTTTTACCTAAACTGAGATTTGAAACTAAAACTACCAGACTGGCAAGCCAAGCATGCTAGCCACTTGATTATATCACCTAGCCACTTGATTAGATCACCTAGCCACTTGATTTTATCACCTAGCCACTTAATTTTATCACCTAGCCACTTGATTATATCACCTAGCCACTTGATTATATAACCTAGCCACTTGATTTTATCACCTAGCCATTTGATTATATCACCTAGCAACTTGATTATATCACCTAGCCACTTGATTATATCACCCAGCCACTTGATTATATCACCTAGCAACTTGATTATATCACCTAGCCACTTGATTATATCACCTAGCAACTTGATTATATGACCTAGCCACTTGATAATATGACCTAGCCAATTGATTATATCACCCAGCCACTTGATTATATCACCTAGCAACTTGATTATATCACTTAGCAACTTGATTATATCACCTAGCCACTCAATAATATCACCTAGAAACTTGATTATATCACCCAGCCACTTGATTATATCACTTAGCAACTTGATTATATGACCTAGCCACTTGATAATATCACCTAGCCAATTGATTATATCACCCAGCCACTTGATTATATCACCTAGCAACTTGATTATATCACTTAGCAACTTGATTATATCACCCAGCCACTTGATTATATCACCTAGCAACTTGATTATATCACTTAGCAACTTGATTATATCACCTAGCCACTCAATAATATCACCTAGAAACTTGATTATATCACCCAGCCACTTGATTATATCACTTAGCAACTTGATTATATCACCTAGCCACTCAATAATATCACCTAGAAACTTGATTATATCACCCAGCCACTTGATTATACCACCTCCATATCTTATACCTGCAAAGTTAAGATATAGGCATTTTAACACTGAGAAGTTTCTGCAGTCAAAATTGAGAGTATCAACTGGGTTTTATACCATATGGCTTGGTCTTTCTTGCAGAATGACTAGCAGCCCGCAGAGAGCATCATATAAAGCACAATCTCTGTACCTCCAGCAACATTCCCCAGAAAAAAATTACACTGAATTATGAGTCTGAGAAATGAACCTATGACCTTCAGAGGGTGAGACAAACAGCTTGGCCACTTTTGCCAAAGAGACTATAACATCGTAACACAGCAAATAATCTTACCTTCAGCAAGTGAGAGTTGCCGTCATTCAGTGAACTGGTTAAACTAAGCAGCACAATTCTTTCTCCAGGACTGGAGCTCTCTATCTTCACTGCACCATTATCCATCACAACTCTGAGGTAGAAATTCTGTAATACATATGCTACATTTTAGATTTGTGTCCACTGAATTACTTATCAATTGTTATGTAGTCATTCAGCGCTATATCCTCAAGATTAGGACTATTCTACTCTACACAGTCCTAGTTAATTAGTTAGTCATCACTCGAGCCTGCTTTGTTCCAAAGGTACTGGTGTTACCTTTCCTTCGGAGTAAACAAGGTAGGTTGAGAGAGGGATCATGATGCATGGCAACATATGGTCTCTACAATACCGCCGAGGCTTGGTGCTATGGAAAGGAGGAACTTCACCCATGGCCACCTAGTGCACAATAACACTATCGTCTGGAAAGGCGGAGTGGCACAAATCAAAATTTGAACATATTCACACAGCCAAAAAAAAAATGTTGCACTCAGAAGGAACTCAGATGCTACCTGCCGACCGGGGTGAGAGCATTATTCTGCAAAGGATCTGCTATCAGATGATGATGAGTACAGAAAAAAAGAGCTCTTGTATTTACAAACAAATGAAACAGAGCAGTAGTAGTAGTAGATTTTTTCCCCACCAGGACATCATAAAAGCGATAAACACCTGATGACACAAAGTGCCACCATGTGGATGAAGATCACCCGCGGAGAGGTCCCAGAAACCGCCAGCCACTAGACCATATTTATGGTCAGGCTATATTGCGGCCCCTGGCAAGAGACTGGGTGGGGCTTCAAAATAGAGAAAAAAATTGCATCTCGTAAGGAGATGACTGAATAATTGAGGAACAGAGCAGTAGACAGCCATAGTAAATCTGGGACTGATGGGATATCTCAGGCTGCTAGCTTTAACCTCTACGAGGACATTTTACATACATTATTGAAATAATAACATACTAATAACATACACTATTATTTATCCTAAAGCATATCCTAGATGGTATAATCAGGACAATATTTCAAAGGATATAAATAGATATAACATATATGACTAAATAGAACAATGATATGGTACATTAAATATTAAAAGTATACACTGCAAATGCAGTGGACACAACATTCTGGTAATAACCCTTTAGGCTGAATTAGAGATTATTCAATGAAACTGCTACTCTGAGAGTAAAGATTAAACTAGAAAAGTGGTTTCCAATTTATGGTCCAAAAAAAAAATTTAAGGGGTCTGTGATATCATTTAGAAAAGAAAAATGCAACTCTTTTTGTTTTTGATTAACTTACTGGGAAATAAAATGACTATTAAAAAGTATGGGGTCTTTGTCACACCTTCGGAAATAAGAGGGGGTCCACTGATCTTACCTGATTGAGAACCACTGGTCTAGAATAACAATGCAACATGGCATTAACTCTTTTTATTGATCATTGGCACCTTCACCTCTTTCCAGACGATAGTGTTAAATTGCGCTATGAGGAGGCATGAGACTCACATCCCATGGAAATGGCGAGTGTGACTAGAAAGACCCGCCCGAGTCAAGAAAAGTCTTCCTCAATGATAGCATGGGATTTCAGGACCATTGTTGTCAACATTTGTGTTTAATCCGTTTATTTTCAGACACTCAGCTCTCATCCTTTCTGCAATCATTTCTTCCTTCACTCTCATTCCCTCCCTGATATGCCCTTTCCACACAACACGGGGCATGGCATTTTGTTCCCATCAGTCCACCTCAATACCTGTATCCTTCATGTCCCACTTGCACACATCTTTTCATTGTAGTAGAGGTCAGCCTCAACATCTTTTTCCTGTCCCTATGGACTCTGCCATCCTCCTTTCTCCAGGTGTGACCTAGCCACCTGAGTCTTCGTAGATTGAACATGGAAAAGACTGTTGTAGTACCTGCTCTTTCCAGTACCTCAGTGTTTGTAATTTTGTCCTGCCACTTAATGCCAAGTATTCTTCTTAGGCATTGCATGTGAAAGCTATTTAGCCGTCGCTCCTGGTGCAAATAGGTTGACCAAGTTTTACTGCCATAAAGCAGAGTGCTGAGAACACAAGCCTGATAGACAAGGGTTTTTGTTTTAATTGTGAGCTTTCTGTTCTCCCAAATTCTCCTTGTCAATCTGCTCGTTGTTGTTGCTGCCTTACCTATCTTGATGTTGATTTCTTGGTCCAGCGATAGTTTACTATTCACTGTGGAACCCAGATAGGTTAAATGGTCTACTGTCCCAAGCTCTTCACCGTCAATGTAGACTGTAGGTCTGTCATTAACACCTTGCACCATAACCTTTGTCTTCTTTTTGCTGACTGTTAGTCCAAATTCCCAGCATGCATCAGCAAAGGCAGATAGTAAACATTGCAGCTCATCCTCTGAGTGAGTGGTTATTGCGGCATCATCTGCAAACAGCAGCTCTCTGATAAGTACCTTTCTTATCCTGGTTTTGGCCTTCAGCCTGCGAGCATTGTAAAGGCTGCCGTCAGATCAAGAATGAATGAAAATAACACCCTCCTGACCACGAAAGGCATGTGTCAAAAGAAGTGAAAAGTATATTCAAAAGAGGTTAGGACAAGTACACACCAGTAAAAAGGACCCTGTTCCACACCTTTAGGCGTATAGGGCATGACCTATATTTTATAGACCAATCGGCACAAGATGGGTGATGTAGTTAGCATCACGCCGGCCGCCTCTACTTCCCAGGACTGCATCCGGTACCCACTCATGGCTGGGTCGACCTGGGAGCCAAGGTCATTTTTTAAGAAAAGTCTGGCTCCGCCAGGGAGCGAACCCACGACCTTCCGATTCGTGGTGTGCGTCTAGCCACTCTGCCACTGCGACTCCCATACACACCAGTGCTTCACTCCATTTTTTATTACAAACTCGTTCGATGTTACACTATCAAAGTTGATTGTACCTTTCATACCTGTGTGGAACGACTCAATAATGTTCAGTAGGGTAGGTGGGCACCCAATCTTCTTCAGTGCAATGAACAGACTTTTTCGACTAACCAAATCAAATGCCTTGGTAAGATCAATAAGAGCAACATACAGTGGTTGATTTTGTTCGCGGCATTTTTTACTGCAACTGTCGGAACGAAAATATCATATCAGTGGTAGATCTGTTTCCACAAAAGCCACACTAGGATCTGGAGTCTTCACAGAACAATTCTGGCAAGCACTTTTCCAACAGTACACAGCAGTGATATTCCCCTGTAGTTATTGCAGTCACTCTGATCACCCTTGTTCTTGTACATAGAAAAGCATACTACCAGTAGTATAGAATGACTTGGCAAGATACTATGTGTAGTAACAGGAGCATGTTTACTATGACAGATATGGGAACAGGTCAGCAGATATCTCACCTATCTCTATTTTCAAATAAAGAATATGACTTTAAGTCCATAAACTCAAACAAACAAAAACAAATTACATTTTTTATTGAAAATAATAGTAAAACATTAACAGTGTTTATATATGAACACACAACTGGGTGAAAACAAGTTAGATTTTGTGAGGGCCCTTTGGGAGCAAGTGAACAGTGCGGAGGCACAGATAAATCATTAAATCTAAGGAAAATGGCGCTGCAAAGAGTTACCAGGGGATCTCGCCGATGCTTAACACTCAGTGGAAGGATGAGACAGATATACAATCAGATGGTTACTTGTACATCAGAATTGGAACTCTTTGCTTGCTGCTGAAGATGGGGACTGAGCACTTATGGGAGTGTCCCAAATGCTGTGATGTCAATTTTTAATTCAACAATCAACAACTTGGTGAAAATTCATAGTTACCTGTCGTCTATTTGTCAGTGATAATAAAGTGGCCATTTTCTGCCGAGTTTTAAAATTTAATGTGACTGAATTGATTCTATCCATCTCAGATGGAATAAACCGAGCAAAGCCATTTCCATTGAACACCATTGAGAGCCTCTGTTTATCTGAAATACTTGAAACAAAATCAACCATTCATGCTCAGAAATATTGAAGAAGTAAAATCGACATAGTGTCTGTGATGGCTAATAGACCTCTTAGTCCAATAAGCCTGAGATTGTTTCCCTCCAAGGTAAGATTTTTTACCCTCATAACTTCAGTGTTACCCAAGAAAAAGATAAATGCCTGATTTTTCAGTTGATTGGCATCACATTCATCATCCTGCAGTGCCTTGCCAGCTGGCGCAGGCATTCATGCATCTCCACAGATCTCGGTCTTCGGTGTTCTGGATCAATTCCACTGATGACATTTCTCTATGTCACTGTCTTAAGCCATCTACCATCGTTTCTCTTGGTCTGCCTCTGCCTCTTCTACCAGTCGTTATGATATTTTCCAGTGCTCCTTTTCTCGTCACATGACCAAAGAACTTTGTTTGTCTCCTTCTCATTGTTATTTATAATATTTTACTTTTGTTAGCCATTTCCAGGCAATCATTGTTATTTATTCTAGCAGTCCAAAGTATTCACAACATTCTTTTCAGGAAACTAATCTCAGTTGCCTTTGAACTTTTCTTAATTTATTTGCTCACATTCCAAGATTCACTGTCATACAACAGCTTCAAAAATAAAAGCCCAATTTTTCAGTGATGTAAGTTAACTGATATCAAACTGACCACCTCATTTATCCTGTATGGGTTTTGGGGCCATTTTAGAGAAAAACAGAATAAACCCATTGCCCTCCTAACAAGCATGTCACTAAAGAATACTAATTAGAGATTTGCTGAAATCAGTTATGTCAGACGGAAAGGTGTATATATCCCAGTCTAGCTGTAAACCTCAATGCAACATGCTAACTGTCCTTTTAAGGACAAATGCAGAGATAGAAGACCACCTCATTCTCAGAGCACTGTTTAGTTGCAAAAAAACTGACTTTGTACAATATTCTGTACGTCATAATAGTATTTTAATGGAAAGATATTGTTTAGAAAGTCATCATCCTTCCCTGGTTGGGGCATACAGAGAGAATATCAGAAAACAGAAACAGAAAAAAAAAAAAAGAGAAAAAAACTACATGCACACTTGAGTCGAATGGGAGTAGACCACAAGGTAGACCAAGAAGAGAAGAAAGATAATAGACTGGCATACCAAC